ATGATGCCTCTGTCGCGGCCGCCGATGATGCCGCCGGCCTTGTGCTGCCCGCGGCGGTGGACGCCGCCGCAGGCGCTGCCTCAGATGCTGCCAGCAGCGCCGCAGGACACGGCCCCACATACGCCCCTGACCAGTCCTACCCGACCCACGTGGATGGAATCCTTCTCTGGATAGCACCTCCACCGGAACAAGATCACGTGGCTTACTAACGATGATGAATGGTGCAATTTGCCCTACTGGACTTGGCTGTCAAAGTGGGGGCATGATCATGATTTCCCGCCGTGAGAGGCGGCACTGGTTGGAAGTACTGACAGGGAAAGAGGGCCGTCTCGCACGCCTCGTGGTACGGACGTACAGACGGGAGGATCGGCGACTTCAAATCCGCCGCCTCCGGCGCCGCCCAGGCGAGAGAGTTCGTCGAATCCGTGGAGGACCCTCAAGTGAGTGCGGCCCGCGTGACTCCGTCCGCGGCATGCGCACACCAAACACTCTACCCACACGCTAAGCGTGTTGGGCGCGGACCTCTCTTCTGGACGGCTAAGCCGGCCCAGCGGAGAGCAACTATTTAAAATATCGGTGGGAAACGTCGAGCCTCTTCGGCCCTTGGCCCCCTGGCAGCCACCGTTGAGCCGTAAAAGCTTTTTGGGGTTGGCTCCGGTGGTTGTATAAATGTACAGGCCAGGGGTGCTGTGGCTGGATGGGCTCTACGCGGCCCGCCGCGGGGGGAGTGAAGATGCTCCTCTCCGCTTTATATTCAATTCAAACATAACTTAGATTGCATGCAATGAACTGTCCGCGTCCGCAGCTATTGCGTAACTGCTCAAACCAGCCGACCTCGGCTGGCAGGAGAGAAAAGGGGCGCGCCCGCCTTCGGCCGTCGTGCGTCGTCGGTCGTAGGCCAGCCGGCCTCCTCCCTTCACATTCCTGATAGCGTAGTTTTGCTTAACGGATACTTGTCTAATCTATGGCTCATCCCGCCTCCGCTCTCCCTGAGCAGAGTAGTCATGAGATCTTAATTCCTTTGTCATCTTACCCCGATTCTCAGAGGAAAGACTCATAGAGATTGCCCTGGCGGGGGACAGCTGCGCCCCTCAGCAAAGTGCGCTGGCCCGGGCGGTCTTCAGACCTGGAAGCGGCCAGGGGGGGAGACGTTATGGAGGAGGAGAGGATAAGCAGTCGCAGCAACACGAACGGGCTTTGTAGGACAGAGGAACGGACGAGAAGTAGGGGGAGCACGACGAGGACGAGGACAACGACGATGAAGTATTGTAGCAGGGGGGGCGAAGGCCTCCTTCTCTCCTGCTCGCCCGATGACCTTCTCTTCCCGCTACTTATCGACCTGTCTCTTGTCGACTTGTCCTTATTGTCCTTCTTCTGCCTCCTCATCCTATGTGCGTCTTTCTTTTTCTGTATTTATTCTGCCTCATTTGTTTCGTCTTCCCCTCTCTTCAACCTTGTCCTTCTCCTCTGCGTCCTCCTCTGTGCGACGGACGAGAGCGATGGGGGAGATGAACTCACCAGCCGCGCGAATCCATGGGCCGAGCGGTTTCTCGAGGACGTCAGAGACGCACGCAGGGTTTCGGAAAGTTGTTTGTCAACGCCTTGCGAGACGCAGACGAGATCAGTTTCGGTCGCCGATTCTCCTTAGAAGTTCGAGAACAGCTACACCTACTATATGCTCGGGAGGCACGAGCAAACAAACTTACGGTAGCAGTTCCCCCTCCTGGAGTACTAGAGCAAACGGGCGAACATCAGGAAGACTCAGCACTACAAGAAAACATATCTTGAACATGTGAATTACAAGACGGGGCGGGAGAATGCGGGCTGCTACTCGCAAGCAAAAACAGCGCTACACAACCGCATCATGAAAACGCACCGCATCCACAGCCTCGCAGCCATCCTTACAAGCAACAGCGAGGGCATCAATTGCAAACAGATATTTAAATGCAGGGGTACAGCCTGGAAACATCTAGCCATGCGTATAGTACGGGGAGCATGCAACAGGGACAATACCAATAATCAGCATGCGGCGAAACTTCATACGCCACAGCGTCCGCTCTGTAGCCACTACGCCTTGGACAAGGATCGTATTTTTTGGCACCTGTGTACACATCTCCCGATACCGAGATTGCAGCCATCACGCGATGCCAATCTTCGACCAGATACCTCAGACGATGGCAGTCGCGCCCGCGGACCAGCGGGCACAAGGCCGTAGCAGACCGAGACGTGGTCCGCAGGGAATGGCTTCAGCGGGACAAGGAACAACAACCAGCAGATGCTCGACATCACGGCGAGACTCACATTGACGCTGGCGCGAGAGCAGGCAGAACTGGCAGCGGCGGTGCTCCAGACCTGGAAGATCGTGACATCGGCGTGTATCGCTACCACGGGATTCGAGGCAGGACGCAAGTACAACGAGGGCGTTCAAGCACTGTACCAGCGGGAGAAGAATGGGAAGGAAGTCGACACAGGCGGCCTGCGATCGCCGCACATCAGAATCTGAACAGAGGTCTGCGCGTGCATGGGCAAGACACTGGAGAAAAGGAGACGCGCGCAAAGATATCGAGAAATTCTGCGCAGAGGTCATCATGGACGCCGACAACACCAGCAACCGCGAACACATCGCATCGCAGACACGGTGCCAGCGTTCCGCATCAGACGTAACAAGAGCAAGGAAGGGAACGGCAAGGAAAAGTGCAGGTTCCAGTCAAGTTCAGCGAGACTCACTACCAGCTGGGCGTCATCCCGTGCAACCTTCTCCAGAAGAAGGGCGCGGTGAGGAGGATTGGCTCGGCGCCGAGGGGGGCGCTGGAGAGGGAGCTAGGACGGATGCTGCACTGAGCGGGACAAGAGCCAACGCAGCGGGAAGTATGAGTGAGACACCAAACGTAGGCCATGAGCAGCCTAGTTCAGCCATGGGTGAGAATGCAGTCAGATGGAATAGGGTGCGAGTTTGGAACGTTCCGACAGTGGTGCCGAGAGTTCCATCCTAGCGCCAAATTCAGAGAGCTAGCACAGAGAGGGAGGCCACCCCAGGCACTTAACACGGACACGCCCGAACTTTTTCGATTTCAGGGGCCGCGTTGTCCCAAATACTTCCTACTATACCGCCCTCCCCCATCCCCCGACACGCCCCCCGAAGAAACCCGAAGGGGGCGAACCAAGGGTAAAGGGTATATGCAGCAGGCAAGTGAGCGTCCGCGAGGACGGGTGCCGCCCCGCCCGCAAGCCCCTTGCGTTGGCGAGAGACGGTGCGGAAAGGGCCCGAGCGTCACAATGACGACAGCTCCCCCAGTCATGAAGCGAACACAGCCAGGCTGAGTAGAGTAGAGCGCCTCGAATTCATATCTAGAGTAGGCGTCGCACCCCGAACTCGGCCCCAGAGCTCGATCGATCGATCCATTTTCCTCTTTCTGGTCCTCTGTCCCGTCCCCCTCCGGAGAGATGACAAGGCAAAGTCGCATTCTGCACAGCGCGATTCCATAGTGGAGTGGCCAGCCAGGTGCGCTGTTGGACTCGCAAACGACGCTTCAATTGAGCATGGCAACGAGGCGCGACGAGCTGTGACGCACGGGAGCCTTAAGGAGGACAGGTTGTTGCTATGGGGCGACTTGAAGTCAGCGGGCGAGGCGAAAGAAAACCGATGTAGTTGGAGGAACCAACTTCGTCCTCGGGCACCCCGTTCCCCCCGCGGCCCCGCTTGACTTCGGCCCCAGGGCTTCGATCTTGCATAAGGAGGAGAGGCGAGAGAAGGGAGGTGAGGGGAGGAGCAGGAGAAGGGCGAAGAGGAGGAGGAGGAGGAGGAGGAGGACCGGAGTAGACCCAAGATGCGTTAGTGATGCTATGTGCCTTCGCGCCCCAGGACTCCTCATCACGCGTCCCTACAAGCCTTTTTTTCTACACTCCTAGAAGCGCCCCCCTTCAAAGACCCGCACCATACTGGCCTGCCTCTTTGGCGAGGGCCCCGTTTGTAAAGGGGTCCGGTTCGCATCCTCCTGGCGCACAGTCAGGAAGGCGCCAACGGTTACCGAGCAGGTCGATTTGGTGTCCAGCGAGATCCCCGTTTCGAGAAATGACCGCCACTCATTCGTGTATCGGTCTCGTGAATTCACACATGTGGTCATGATTTTCTAAGAAGTTTGAAGCGATAACTCAATTTTGAAAAAGATTCTGCCTCGATCCGTGGAATGCTTCATGTGAAGAACTTCGAGCCTGCGAAGTCAAAGAAGGATCTAGGCGAAACCACATGTTTAAAGAGAGCGGTCCTCCGTCTGTCTAGCTGTTGCAAGTGCTTGCGGCGAGGTGCGCGTTGCTATGGCGATAACACCATTCTGAAAGCGACCCACCCTCCATCCTTGAAGATGTCGAAAGACTGTAAGACAACTGTACTGGGTGCTCATGTGGGGGCAACACGATTCAAACGATCCCCCTCCAGTCTTGAAGCTGCTGCAATTTGTAACGGCGAAGGTGCGCGGCGCGAATGCGAGGGCTCCGTTTTTGAAAGCGACCTCCCCTTCATCCTTGAAGCCGTAGCAGTTTGTTACACGAATGTGCATGGCGTTCAGGCGAGAGCCACGTGTTGAAAATGAGTCGCCTGCGAACTTTTGAGACGAATGCGCGTGAGGCGAAGGCCCCATTTTTACAACGGCCCCCCCATCGCTGAAACTGTTGCAAACATGGAGTTTCAGGAGCATGCGTGGTGACGAAGTGTCAGGCGAAACGCCCAGCCCGACCTGCCGACTCGTTGTGCGCAGTGGCAGGAGGAGTTCTTTAGACGGAAAAAGGATGGAGTAGACGGGGAGGGGCTTTTTGTTTCACATGTTGCCTTTTGGGCCATCCGGGAGGGCCCTCGCCACGGACAGCATTCACTTTGAAACTTCTGTCAGAGTGCGTTCCAGGACAGGTCAAAGGGTGGGTTTTGAGGGCAAAGGACGAGGAGGGGGAGGAGGGGGCGAGGCCGGAAGAGTGCCGTGAGACGGTTCCCTCTGCATGCGCGCGCACCAGCACAGCGACAGTGGCTCAAAGGATGTGGCGAGAGCTTGGCTGATGGCACATGTCGCATTGGGGCAAGACGATGTCCGTGTTCTCTGCGGGTGCTGGCCCGCAGGCGCGCCACGTGCCGCAAGCGACAGGGTACGCCGGAGTGCGCAACCACATCGCTAGCTCCGGCGAGCGGGAGCCTGGATCTGCCAGCCGCAGGAGCGGCTGGTCGGCCACCAGGCCCTGGCTGCCAGAAGCGGCCTCCTCCCGATGTGCTCTTGCTCCGTTCGCCTCTGTCTGCTCCACCATACGTCGGGTTCGTGCCGTCTCGACGCGGCTGCGCCAGCACGGGCGTTCACGGTTGAGCGCCCTTCGGGGCTTCATTTCGGGCCCCAGGGGCCCAGAAAATTACCCACGGCGTGACATCCGTGGCCTCCAGGGGCGGAGATTCGTTCAAGGCTGAACGAGCGGTTCGTGCGCGCCAGAAGCCAGGGCCCACTTGCGTCACACGACAGCAGCCTGGACCACTCTCGTCGGCCGCGCCCCCCTCGAGAAGCTTCGACATGAGCGTCCAAGGCCCTTGCATCCTTATCGCGCATCCTTATGATAGAGGCTGGCTGTAGCTTGGCCGCCTTCCCACTCCTCGTCCGCCTACAATGGGCACGCGAAGAAAAGGCTGGCCCGCCAGCAGGTGCTCCACGGAAGTTCTTCGCTCCTTGGTGGCCCCCGGGTGTCCCCAGAAGCCCAGGGGCCCCCCAGGAGGCTCGAGGCTCGACGGCAAGCGTGCCCCCAGATTTCTTGGATCAAGGTCTCGCATCGTGCGGGGAGGCTCGGAGAAGTGGCTGGGGCCAGCCCTTCCAGTCTTTCCACCCCTGGCCAGTTATAATTTTTCCAGCCCTGGCGACCTCATCCCAACTTCTTCGTGCTCGTCGCAGCCCTTGCTGTTTTTTTTCGACCCTGGCCACTTCCACTTTGACGAATTTTCCAACTTCCACTTTTTCCAGCCTCCCTGTACGTGTTGACTGCATGGGGTGAGCGCAGCTCGGCGCGATGCGGCCTCTGGCAGCTCTCGGAAAGGGGCTCCTGGCTGCGCGGGTGTTGTTCGGGCCGAGCGGGTCTGACCTCGGCGATGGGTGCAGCCGCGCTCTCTGTGAGGTGTTTTTCCTGCTGGGCGGGGAAGGCGCGCGCTCCTCGCGTCAGCAGGAGGCAGAAGTCGACGAGCACCGCGGTGCTGATAGACGGCTCCGACCTGCTTCACCACTTCCACGGGCTCTCCTCGAAGAAGGACAAGCTGGCTCAGAGTGGCGGCCTCTGCAAGTTTGCAGAATTCGTAATGCGCCTGCACCGGGATATGCCCGTGGACTATTTCGCAGTGGCGTTCGATTGCGAAGGTCATCGTTTTCTCATTCATTGTTTTGTCGATCGGCGCGGCCCCTCGTGCCCCTCCCCCCTCCTCCCTGGAGTATATCTTGGCTGTTTTTGGCGCCTGTTTCGAGCAGGTGGAGTCCCCCATAGGACTGTTGCAAACACTCGCGCTAAGCAAAGGTCTGGAGCCAGATCCCCCTACCTCCCCCCCCTTCCGCTCAATATTGAAACGCCGAATCAGAAAACGTTCACAAGGTCAATGCTGGCGCGGCGAGACGTGGCCCAGTTACGCGGCGCTCCGGCAGACTGCCGCGGAGAAGCTGGGTCCGCAGCCGCGGCTGGCGGCAGAGCTGTGCAAGGAGCTCGGCTTCGAAAGAATGCCCAGGGCGTTTGCCTTGTGTGCGTTTGGGTGCGTTTGCATCGAGTGCAAGATTCTAGGCCTCCTAGATGGGGTCCGAGTAGATGGGGTCGGAATATCGCGCCACATCGCCGATGCATCGCCAGTGCGGCCAGATGTGGAGCCCGATTTGCTTCACGTCGACGTCGCCGATGCATCGCCGACGTCGCCGATGCATCGCTGGTGCATCGCCGGTGCATCGCCGATGCATCGCCGATGTATCGGCGATGCAAGGCGATCGTCCGGCCTCATCTAGGGCGGCGAGATCTATACATATCCACTGCTCCCTGGCCAGGCCCATCCTCAACACAGCAGCTGTGTATACGCCACGCCCTCCTGGTTTGGCCAGGAGGGCGTATACACAGCTCCTGGGTTCAGGAAGGGCCTGGCCAGGGAGCAGTGGATATGTATAGATTTCGTCGCCCGATCATCTACCATGACCCCATCTAGGAGGCCTCTAAAGAGCACGTCTGACATGCATTTGGCACTTTTTCGTCGGCACATGCGCGAGGGGGCTCTACTGTGTGTGTGTGTGTGCGTGTTTATGCATACTTGCCATCGGGCGACGGCCCAGGCATGGTTTCACCCCTGGTCCGCTGGTTGTCCCAGGTTCCCATGCTGGATTGGTCCTCTACCTCGGGTGGCTGCTGTTGCCGCGTCCCCCTGCGCCCCGATGGTCACTTGGTGCCGTCGCACTGCTTTCGTCTTCCCCTTCTTCTCCTTCTCTTGCTTTCCCCCCCGTTTCCCCCGTCTGTCCCTCACGGCTGGCCCCCCCCCCCCGTGAGTGTCGTTGTCGATCTCCTATGGGCGGATCCAGCGTCTCCCCGCCGCGTGGGCCTGGCCGGCGCGCGTGCCACGCCGACCCTTTCTATACGCTGCGACGCCGCGCCTGCGGCCGCCGCCAAGAAGAGTGCGTGTGTGTGGCAGGCTGCGCACGCGAGCGCGTTTTTGGGACGGGTTTTCGCCGCGCCCGCGCCGCGCTCCGCGTTCCTCAGAGGAGCTCGGGGTTTTTCACGAGCGGCGGAAGGGGTTCGATGCGTACGACCTTCTCAGCACTCTCGCAGCAGATGCCATCATGCTTCCGCACGAGTCCATCGTGACAGTGGTCTCAAACCAGCTGCTGGCAGCCCGCTTGGTGAGCCCGCGGGTGAGATTGCTCCTCCCGGGCGTTGGCGACGCCGCCCTCGACGAGGACGCGGTGGTCCGGGGGGGGGAGGGGCCTTCCTCCCACCTCCCGCGACCCCTTGGCTCCCAGACCCCCGACCTTCTCATCTCCCTGTCTTCCCAGCAAACGAAACCAGAAAGTGTCCTGCTAGCGTTCCCCACGGCAATATCTTATTTCCTGACGTCTCACAACACCCGTTGAAATTCTGGGGGCATCTTGCGGGGTCCAAGGTAGCCCCTGTTACAGTAAGATGCACTGTATCCCCTCATGCAGTCAATCCTTATAGTAAGTATGAATGACTTTCCAGGATCATCCTTGCATCCTTCCCTTTGGCCCATTCTTGGCATCTCTCGCTGGCCGCGCCCCGCTCGCAAAGTGCCGGCATGGCCTTCCAAGGCCCTCGCATCCTTATCGTGCGCCCTTACTTTACAGGTTGCTTGTGCTGTACCCCATAATCCGAGCATTCTCTTTGGGTGGAGGGCAAAGGGTGAAATCTGAAATGCCGTTCCGATGGGCTTTCGAGGCTTGAACCTGCAAAAGGTGGATCAGAGGAAGGATTGATTCTCAGGGTGCAGAAGCCCATACGGATTTCACCCTGAGCCCTCCACCCTAAGTCAGCGAGCGAAGAACAGTATAAAATGAACTTTCCGCCGTCGGAGACACCTGCCCCTGGGCGGCTGGAAAGTTTATACCCCTACGGTGCCACCGTAATGGTATAAACTTTCCAGCCGCCCTGGGACAGGCGCCCCCGACAGCGAAAAAGTTTATTTTACACCGTTCTTCGCCCGTTAACTAAGGAAATGCTCAGATAATAGTCCGTCCCCGTAGGCCCTCCTACGGCAGGCCCGCGTCGCGCCGGCGTGGCGGCGACGCCAGCCCTGGCGTGCAGGAGCGTGCAAGATGGAAGGCCCGGCGGCCTTGAGCAGCCCGATCCGATCTCCGGCGGCCGGTTGCGGGGAGAGCGCCCCAAATCGAATGGTCCACGCGGTGCCAGGACCATTGTACTCGGCGGCGAGCGAGGGCGGGAAGTGAGAAAGAGCAGGCCCTCTCAGAAGGCGGCGGGACTTCCCAGAGGCCCTCGCGCCTTCAGAGAGTTCTTCAGAGAGTGCTCAGAGAGCTTCTCAGAAGGCCGGGGACCTCCTGGCCTTCTGAGAGGGCCCGCCCCATCTCGCTTCCCCCCCGGGCTCGCCGCCGAGTTGTCGCACTTTTATTGCACCTGAGCCGAGCATCGCTGCCACTGCAGCGCGTGATTGCACGTACTTTGCACGAGCAGCCGCAGTTGTGCCTGCACGCGCGTGTCGCTTGAGCGCTACGCGCGGTGTCGGGAACCAGCGTCCACGCCGCAACGATCGGGGCCGGCCGCCCAGCCATGCTCTTGGAACGAGGGCATTGATCCGTTGGTGGTTTCGGAAAGGGCCCGGCCCGGGGCTCCTCGGGAGCCTCCGGAGGTTCTCCGTCGGCGCTCCTGTCGCGTCTGGGCGCAGGTGGGGGCCCAGCAGGGGCCCCGATCCCTCTTCACGGCCAGGAGCCCTGGCGTGTCGCGCGCCGCCGGTTCTGGCCCACCACGCCTCGGCGCGACACGTCGACCACGCCCTGGCCCCCCGGCGTCGAGGCCCCGAGCTCCGCCCATCGGGTCGGGCGAAAGGGGGGGATAGCAAAGGGGGGGTTTGAGAATCAGCTCACGTAGCTGATTCTCACGGCGCCTCCCGGCGCCAGAGGCGGCGATGTATCGAGGAATGGGCCCCTCGGTGAGGCCGAAACCAGCTGCATGCAGCAAATTTCGTAACCCCCCCTTTCCCAATCCCCCCCTTTCGCCCGACCCGAGCCCAGCATATCCCGCTCCTCGGAGCGGGGCGGCGCGCTATATCCAGCTCGCAGGGCACAGGGCGTGCCGCCGGGGCCGCCGCCGCGGCACGCCGAGCACGAATGCTCCCGAGCGTCCGGGGTCCCCTGCGGCGGGACCTCTTAAACCGACGCGAAGATCGGGACAAAATCGGATCGGGATAACTCGAAATCTCTGAGAATCGGCGGGCTTGGAGGATGTATTGGGCGCCGCGGCCGCTCCAGAGCGTTCCGGAACGCTCTGAGAGCGCTCCGGAACGCTCTGGAGCGATTTATCCCGATCCTAGCCCTGTTTTACCTCTGCTGTGGGCGTTCCCTGTCAGCGTCGCCTCCTGGGCATCGCCCGAGCGTGCCCGTGGTGTGCGCGCGTCGGCCCCCCAGGGCGACGCGCGCTCGGAAGTCTTGGAGCGTCTGATCGGTGGCGGGCGCTCTCTGGCCATGCCGCCTGGATTCAGGAGGGGGCACAAACACACAGACACAATGAATCGTCCACTCCCAGGAAAATATGGGAAAATATGGGAATTGGGCGGGAAGACAAAATCCCAGAAAACATGGGACAATATGGGGGGTCTCTTCATCGAGGACACCGGCGGCGCATCACCGGCCGCTCCCTGGGAGTTTGTCGAAGTGGTGCGCAGCATCGAACGTCGTGACGCGGTGCGTATGCCATGTATCAATTGGCCGTCGGCCCATCCCGCCACCGTGCTTAGCTTAGCTTGGCTTAGCTTAGCTTAGTTTAGCTTAGCCTAGCCTAGCTTAGCTTAGCTTTGCTTAGCTTCGCTTAGCTTATCTCATCTTAGCTTAGCTTAGCTTGGCTTAGCTTAGCTTAACTAACTTTGCTTAGCTTAGCTTAGCTTAGCTTAGCTTAGCTTGGCTGAGCTTAGCTTAGCTTATGCTGCTTTCCTAGGGGCTCCAACTCCTAGGTAGGGTCGCACTGGGATAATTTTGCTGCATCGCGTTCCTCTTCCGCCACCCATCCCCCGCATGACGGCTTTTGCTGCCGCTGGCAATGCTGCTCCAACCGCTGTCGTCGCAATCGTTGCGGTCTGCGCGCGTGAACGCCGAATGCTACGTGAAGAACGCCCCGATTCTCGTTCACCTGGCCCCTCGTTGCTGCCAGCCTCCGTTGCATGTGGTTCTTGACGCGAAACATGCTGGAAACCGTGGGGCCATAACGATGTAGGAAGCAAGGCATCTTGGCGAGGCGGTGCGCCATGGAGAACGCAGAAGCGCTGTCAACACGCCCGTCGGGCGCATCGGGCCGTCCCGGAGGCGTGGACTTCTGAGTCTTGGTCGAGGCGGTCCTCGGGGCCCACGAGGCCGTTTCGGGGCGACGGTAAGCCGGATGCGCACAGGCGACAGAAACCCTGAGAACCATTATGGGAAAGCACTGAGTTCTGCTTCACGGGGCATTCCTGCGAGTATCGTCGGCTTGGGGCAGTCCGAGAGGTATTGTTGGAGGCTCCCCAGTAAATGTTGGAGACCAATTTTCTGAAGTTGGGGTCGCTCGGGAGGGGGGGTCTTTCGCGGGTCTCTTGGGAAGTGCTCTTGGGAGCTTCTTGGGGCGTGTTGGAGGCGTCTAAGCCTGAGGCTCTGCAGAGGCCATCCGGAGCGTCTTGGAGCGATCCCGCCACCATGTCTGGGTCTGTGGGTCGGAGTCCTCATGGATGGACGGTCATGGGGGGTTGTTAGTGGGCTGTCGGGAGCCTCTGCGGCGCAGTCTGGTAACTCGTGGGGGGTCCCTGGGAGCCTCTCCGGGGCCTCTTGGAGTTATCTTGGGGGTGTTTCGGTGCTTGTTGAGACCGCCTGAAACCCTTGCGGCGGCCTCTAAGGGTTTCCCGTAGCCTTCTTGGCCTTCGGCCCATCCCGCCGCCGCGCTTGGGTTGTGAGTCAGAGTCCCGATAGGCGCTTCTTGGAATTTCCTCGGAGGGCTTTAAGGGTCTTGTGTCTTGGAGCCTCTTGAGGGCGTCATGCGGACCTGTTGGGGCTGCTGGGTGATGCTCTTGGAGGCTCGTTGGGAAGTCTTGAAGGCGCGTGAGGTCCTCTAGAGGCCATTTTCGGCGTCTGGGAGTGATCCCGCCACCTTGCCTGAGTTGTGGGGCACGGTCCTCATGGACGCTTGTAGGAGTCTCTTCGGAGAGCTCTGGGGGTCCTCTGAGGCTTTTTGGGACGTCTTGAAGGCGCGTAAGGGCCTCTAGAGGCCGTCGTCGGCGTCTTGGAGAGATCCCGCCACCTTGCCTGGGTTGTGGGTCAGAGTCCTCATAGACGCTTGTAGGAGTCTCTTCGGGCAGCTGTCGGGAGCCTCAGCGGGGCATTTTAGGAGCCTCTGGGGAGCCTCCTGGAAGCTTCTTGGGAACTGCTTCGGGCCCTCTTGGGGGTCTTTTTATTTGAAGGCTGCCGCCTCTGCCGCCGACCCCATGGAGGGTCTTGGGGGTTCCTAGGTGTATATATAGATATATATGTATTGGCGAGCCCGGTTTCCTCTTGGGGCGTCAGGGGTGCTTCTGGGGCGTTTCTTGGGGCATTTGGGGGGGCTCTTGGGGTGTCCTGGGGGCCCTCGGGGGCTTCTTGGGGGCGTCTTGGACTCTCTCTGGGCGCCTCTTAGTGCTCTCTTGGGGCGGGACTTTGTGGGGCGCTCTTGGAGACATCTTGAAATAGGGGGAGGAGGATGAGGAGGAGTGGGAGGAGGGGGAGGAGGAGGAGGAGGAGGAGGAGGAGGAGGAGGAGGAGGAGGAGGAGGAGGAGGAGGAGGAGGAGGAGGAGGAGGAGGAGGAGGAGGAGGAGGAGGAGGAGGAGGAGGAGGAGGAGGAGGAGGAGGAGGAGGAGGAGGAGGAGGTGGAGGAGGAGGAGGAGGAGGAGGAGGAGGAGGAGGAGGAGCGGACAAATGGCGCACGGCGCGTGTGATGTTCCTTTTCAGAGGGTCTTCTACAGGGGTGTGATGAACGAGGGGAGCTGAGGAGTTTTTGCAGGGTGGATGGTTTCTAAGAGCTCATGCCCAGAGGTTCCAGGAGGCACGCGGTGTCAGGCGTGGTGGGGGCATGGTGGGGGCGTGGTGGAGGGGTCCCGGAGCAGCTTTTGCAGGGTGGATGGCTTCGAAGAACTCATGCCCAGAGGTTCCAGGTGGGCGGTGTCAGGCGTGGTCGGGGCATGGTGGGGGCGTGGTGGAGGGGTCCCAGAGCAGTTGTTGCAGGGTGGA